AGCCCCCAGGAGATCTCCAGAACGCCTGCTTACTCTTCCTCGTTTTTGAATCAGAGGACCAACACTTGGGCCCATTGATGAACGCTAAAAACAAACAGTGATGAAGTGAGATACATTAAGGGCAAGCACAAAACTACAATATATACTAGCACTTCACAACAGACATAATGTTGTGTAATTTATAACTTGAGAAATCTAAAAAAGAAATGGGAATATTAAGTGTGCTACACAAATGAATCTAATAATTCATCAAATATTATATATATTAATTATATTATAATTCATAACTTTACCTTAAATATTTAATTCATTCATTATTTTTGCTACTTTAGACTAGATTTGGAATCCCAGCCTTTCCATTTATTCCATATAGACGGTTTCATCGGGCGCACGCGCCTGGACCGAAGTTAACTTCCGGTCTGTGTTTGTTTATCAGTCTGGCTATGGCACAGGCTACAAACGCAGTTAAAGTTAAGGTGATGAGTAGACTGAAGTTGGGCTCAGGTGGTTGTGCTGTGGGATGTGTTTCCCATACATTTATTTATTTGTGGCGCTCGCCACAATATCAAAAATTACAGATTTTCCAAAAGGCTTCGTTGAATAAACATGAGCACGTACTGCACATTTAAAAATCATAACGAGGCGCAGGTGTTTTTATTTCATTGTATTTCTGAAGGAAGACTATCTTTAGAAAATTTTCGATGTCATTTTCATTTAATCTTGCCTGTTATATGCCTGATAAAGCAGCGTTTGTGAGCTCAGTGCTGATTTGTGTACAGCCGTTACTGGGGAAACCTCTGCTTCTCCCGCTTTAAAGCACCTCCTGCTGGCAGAGAATGAATTTGCATTTTCAGTAAGTCCGTCTGATTTACGCAGCAAACATATTTTACTTATCAAAAATAATCTACTCTAAAGGGACTACTTAGCTGTTGTCATTGATTCTATTTGGAAGTCTACCGGAAGTTAAGTTAGGGCCACAAAAGCACGCATGCGCAGTAACGTTTGTTTATGTTGTTGCCGTTGAAACCGTCTATACTAGAATCTAGAAACTGGTAGCACTTACTCTTCTCTCACGAGCTCTTGACTTGAGAGGCTTAACAAACGCTGTGTTGTCCAAGTCCTAGAATTCATACCATGAAATAATTTTCAGAAACAACTGTTTCGATCTTTTTAGTGATTTTTATGCATATGCACATTGCTTGTGTTTGACAATCATCCTAAATCAAGAATAAAATTGATGCTATATGTGATATTCCACCAAATCATCATCCGTTCTGTCATAACTAATGTCAGAGTGTGACAGGAAGGAGGACTCATCAATCCCTGATAACCTGATATAAAGACACAAGATCGAAAATAGCATTGCGAATGAGGGAAAAACTCCAGTGAACTGAGAACAAAACGAAGAGCTTGCTGAACGTTAAGGTACTGTTTTCCTCGGTGCTGTGGGACACTGGCTGCTTTCTGACTGAAGCTGGTCAGCATTGACCTCTGTTCATCATTGAGACAAGCACTTGACTTGCTGTCATGCACTAGAACGCCACATATCAACTGCATCTGCCACTCCTGTCAAATGAATTAATGAGCGATAAAGATACCATAAGTATCCTTAATAAACTCTCACAACAATGGTCAATAAATCACAGAGAACTTCTATTTTATGAACTCTCTGTGCACATTAAGACATGAGTTATGACCGCCCACATCCACATGGCCCTGTACTCAATGGCGCCCTTCACTAAGTCTATGTCATGTTATGTCGCTGTCGCACTGACCAAATGGGCAAAGTTTTGCTTGCTGGCTTCAACTTCAACATTTACATACAAGTCTTAAAGGTGCAGTAGCTAAACAGCCCATTTAATTCAAGAGGGTGAAAAAAATCAGTAAAAATAAATAAATGGAAAAAAAAAATACACCACCATGTAAAAAAAAAAAAACTTTGCATAACAAAAACTGAATGAATGAATAATTAATAATAATAAGTGGTACAAACACAAATCTAGCTTCTTCAAATTATTGCACAAGTGATAAGAACTATGGTTTAATTTCTTAACTAACCAGGCACTGGTAGTCCGCCTCAGCTTTATAGAGTTTCTTGATCTCCACGTCCAGCTGGTTTCGAGCATGTTTGAGTTTGACCTCCAGAGCAGCTCGAGCCACATCAGACTTTACCAGGAGCTCCTTCTGTTTTTCAGCTCCAGCTCTGCATGAAGCCATTTCTTCTGGGCAGCTTCAAAGTTCCTCGCCACCTCAATTAACTCTTGTAGACAAAAGACAACTGGTGAGATTTCAGTATGGCAAAATATATATGCAGATCAAAGAACGACTATTAAGACAAGACATGCTTTCTAAAAGCAGTATTTTTTTTAATAATTCTAGCACAAAGATATGAAGCTTTTACAGGAAGTTTAACAATAACAAGTGGGTAATTTGTGATAATCATATACTTTTAACAAATAGCCACTTTCTCTTTTTTCCTCAGAAGTAAAAATGTAAAAAAAAAAGTACTCCTGGCTTTCAAAAGCTCTGCTGAAACAATACACACTACAATTTTCAAATTCCTAAATTATCCCTCATGTTACACTGAAATTGACTTGACTTCCCTTCTTTTCGACATCCATATGAACATTTATTTTACCTTCAGTGATTTTGGACATCCACCCATCCAGACATATTATTTAAGTTTAAAGCATCTGTTTTATCGTAGAGTGGGCATACCGTTTTCAGAGGGGTGATTGCTATCCAGAATAGTAATGTTGTTTTAGGTTTGAGTCAAGATGGAGACTAATTTCACCTCAGCAAAAGTACATTGTAAAAAAACAAAAAACTTTTACAGTGTGTATGTCAACTACACACTACCATTCTTTAATTGTATTCAGCATTGACACATTAGATTGACGAAAAGTGACAGACATTTATAATGTTACTAAATATATATTTTTCAAATGAATGCTGTTGTTTTGAACTTTCTATTCAGTGTTGGGCAGTAACTAGTAACTTAGTTACTGTAATAATATTACTTTTTGCAGTAACTAGTACTGTAACTAATTACTAATAAGATTGCAGTAATAATATTACAGTTACCATCCATAAAGCAGCTTAGTTACTTAGTTACTTTTGATGCCTCA